ACACGCAATACCTTTCAAGGTCTCTTTTGTATTTTGGGAAAAAGTTTGCATGATATACAAAAAACGATCCTCCCACTGCCCAACTCCCTTCTTTTTTCCACTTTTCAGTCTCTTATCTGCCCCGCCACGGGACCCGGACTCCGTACCTGAAGTAGAACCCATGCGAATGCCTGGGCTATCCTCGTGTGGGTTCTGTTGTACTGGAACATCCTCATTATCCGACTCCGGTTGGTCCTCCATGTCATGCTCTGGAATGTCATTGGCTGCATCTTCAAAGGACTGTGCGTTTTCTCCCGTAGCTCTGTCCTTCCCAAATATTTCTGCCTAATCGTTAAAATACGGGAACGACTTCTTCCTAAGTGTTTTCGCATTTGGATCCACCTACAAAAATGTGTACAACAAATAATTAATGAAGTGCAAGTAACACATGTTTGTCCAAAGTGAACTTCACTAGTACTTACAATAATTGCAATCAGCATGGCAAAAATTGTAATAAATACTTAGAAGCATCATGGCAACAAGTACATATAACAAGAAAATATTCAGTTCATCATTAGATTTTGTGTCTTTTATTCTGTCCAGCAATTAGTTAAAACCGCATAAAGTACTGAAATAATAAAGTATTCACAATTTTGCAGATATGTCCACGAAGAGGGAAATCCCAATTGCACAAATTCTAACATGCATTCTGACGAAGCTGAACTTGAAAAACAAGCAGCCACAAAGGCAAGTGAACATTTTGTACCTGTGGATCCAACATGCATTCTAACATGCATTCTAACATGCATTTTGTACCTGTGGATCTCTATTACTTGCATGTGACTTGATTTTTTGTTTGTTTCTTGTTACATTATCTTATATTCTGCTAGATTCATACAATATTTTGTTTCAATATTATTACAATATCGAATTTAAGTATTTTTATACGGATGAAATTTTTGTATGCTTTGTAACTGAGTTTAAGTTGTCTTCGTAATAAAGAATTTGTAGAACACAATTATCTAACTAGATAAATGCAAGTACTTTGAACACCAGCATCCAGGTATGGATGCTAAAAAAGTACTTGTCAATTACTGAACTAAAGTTGGTTGTGTGAGCTGTAGGTTCATTAGCACTAACTTTTTCACCTTTTGATGATAATTATTGATATAATGATATGGATAAAGACAGCAAAAAGCCACCTCCATGATAGGTTATATTAGTAATATACTTTTTCTTGAGTGATTTATAAGCATTGCAACTTACCTTTAACCATTGGAACCAAACCTCAT